CTGCCGCAGTTATCGTCAGTGTTTAAAGGGGGCAGAATTATGTAAAATTCCCTTTTTTGAGCTTTACATTATGTTATAACAATATAAGCTAGTTTAACATCAACTCGGGGCCCACAAAAAAAAAAAAGTAAATGGTCTTATATATATATATATATATATATATATATATATATATATATATATATATATATATATATATATATATATATCACATTTTCTCAAGTCAGAGGACTCCAAAGCTTTTTCCACTACAATTCATTCAGTCATTCACTCTCTGATGATGATGAGCTATTTTGTAGCAGTTAGTCCTAGGACAAAACAGAGGACCTCAATTTTTATCACAGATTCTGTGTCTTAAACAACAAAGTGAGAAAGGAAAAATGTTTTCTAAAAGTTAGATGCTCTCGCTTTAAAGATCATGCACTCGTTTGAGTTGCTTTATCACACAACAGGCGCTGAACTTTGTGGTTGTGGCGTGGCAGAATGTGGAAATGCTCTAGAGGCTACGAATACTTCTGCATGAATTATTTGTATAGGATAAAGCATGAGAACAAAAGAAAAGGCAAATCAGTCAGTGTCATCATCATACTGCCTCGGATAGCCTTTTCAAAATGAGTAGCACTTCCTGTTCTAAAATCCATTTGCTGTTTAGAAAGATGCAAAAAAGAAACTAGGCAGCTGGGACAGAAAGAAAGAGAGAGCGAGAGGACGAAGTCAGGGAGGTGTCAGGTGGATTTGTAAAATCCACAAAAAAAAAACAGATTGTCATCCAAAGTTTCTTCCCACACATCCACTTTACACGACAGAAAAAAGGTGTTGTGAAAACCATGTTTCCTTTCATTAACCCTGAGACAAACCCCCCTGCTGTATCGACATCTAACCACATTTTCAAGGAGAGACAGATGTCGACTCGCTCTTTTTGACTGACACGCTACAGTTGATTTCAAACGGTTCGGTTTTTCTGGCATTGACCTGGCTTTAAAGCAAAGTCCATAAATTTTAATGGAGGTGAGGTCAGGGCCATCTAAAAGCTCGATATCATCCTTCTTTATCCGTCTCAAAGCCCGTTTGTGCGTGTGTGTTAGGGATTGCCGTTCTGTTGAAACATCCAGTTTTTTTTACCGCAAGCACAAATCCAGAACGGAGCAAATCTGGCCTGAAGCTCAAGCGCCTGATTCAGGTGGAATGGTTGGTTGTTTATTTTTTCCTTTCTTTTTTATTCCATCTCTAGGTGACATATTCCCATGCAAATAAAATTAGTCAATAAAAGCTTAAACTGAAAAGCATTAGCGACAGCAAAGGTTGTTTCTCTTCTATTAATCAGATTTTTCCATCTTAATTTGAACAGAACAGATTCAGGATGCACCGATTGCATTTTTCTGGCAGATCTCAGATCTTTAAAGGACTGATTGCGATCTGCTCAGGACTTATTGTTTTAAGTCAATAATCGCATGATGTTGATTTTGAAATGGACCAGTTCCAATGGTAGATAATTTTACTTACAAGACATTTTCCCATGTTACAAGTGAAATAACACTTATGTAGTTCTAAAACTAGAAATTTTACCTCAATATTCAGTTAGTACTGAGATAAAAAAAAAGCTAGTTTTTTTCTTATTTCAAGGGTACTTATGTATTTATACTAGGAACTAGACAGAACATTTGGAAAGATTTTGTGTTTATGCAAAATTATACCAGAAGCTTTTAAAAATCATGTGGCTGAGATACAACTATTAAGAGTTTTCAACAGATATTCATTACGGTGGATGTATACTTTTGGAACTGTGATTGAAACTTGTGCATCAAGTTTTTTTTAATCTATGGAAGTTATTTGCTCCATAATGGAGAACAACAGTTGAAATGCATCATAGATGCTGGAAATAAGTAGATCTATTTAAACTTCCCACCAGAACTCCAGATACCTGCTCTATGGTGCAGCTGAGTCCAGAGACGCCACGATCCGATATGAATATCTGTATCGGTGCAGATATGATGTAGAGCGTGACAATGTGCAAGATCCATAAGAACATATCAATTGAGTCTAATTCTTGCTTTGTGCTCTGATGTCATGTTTGGTAATTAATTTTAAATTTCTGAACCACTTGAAGAGAAGGTTTGTGGAAGTTTATTTCTCCATGTTTGGCCAAAGTAGTCAACCTATTGCTGATCAGTTTCAGTGTCTTTATTATTTATTTTACATATGCTGTTGTACTGCTAGTTGGGTTGACTTAAGCAATTAAAACTCTGTTGTTTTTCCAAGTTTATCCAAGCTTGTGAAGGCATTAGTGTGCTGGTAAAGAGTTGCCAAATACATTTATAATTGAGTACATTTAAAAAAAGAAACGTTTCAAGTTAATTCTACCAAGTCTTTTGTTATTGGATCGGTGTCGGGCAGTGATAAACCTCAGACATTGATATCGATATCAGATATTGATATCCGGAATTAGACGTGAACAAAGTGGATCGGTGCATCCACAGCCGAGCCTAACGTGTTGCCGTAGGACGGTGTTTCACAAAAAGATGGCCGCTGCTCCTCGACCCACCTGTACTGTTGCTCTTGCGATGAACCGCTCATCGCATTCTTAGAAACGTGGAGACTTGACGCTTGTCTAAATCTACAATAAAACCTGTGAAGAGCAGCGCTGTAATAATCGGCATCTCGAGGTTGACATAAAAAGCTCGATATCTGGCTCAGACCATGTCAATCATGAGAAGCAGCCGCAGACTCCGCGTGGCTTTGTCAGCTGTCGGTGAACGGGTGAGAGGTTGAGCTGTTAATTAGCTGAGCAGGTTGAAGAGACTGTCGAGGGGAGCGGAAAAAAAAAAAAGAAAAAAAAAAGAGGGTAGAAAGGGCCAGGTACTGGAGGGAGATGAAGAAAGGTCATAAAAAGTAGACAGGAAAGCCGCGCGCAACCCTGAACGCTCATTATTTTTCTGACGGGGTTCAGCAGACGATAACTCTGAGTCTAACCAGCATCGGAGGAGTGAAATATAGCACTTAGCAACCGGGCTCACTGTGCTAGGAACATCTAGTAAACATTGAGGATATTATGTAAATACGGCACAGGTGTATACATGAATTTAGATATAGCTCTCATTAGCATAAGCCACGAGTCAGGATGAGAGTTCAAGCACACAGAAATTCTCCTGAAAGCACTGGACACTGAAGGGCTGGCACAAGATGAATTGTTTTATCATCTAGTGGGGAGAAATTAGCATGATTATGCACCTAGTATGCTTGATTATTGCTCGGGCATGTAGGAGGGACGGCTCTTTCTGCTCTTATGTGCCAGAGGGTGTTTGCAGGATCAAAAAAGAGAAAAAAAAAGCTAACTCCATGCAGGATTTGTTTTTTTAATAAGAGAAGGGAGCAGCTGGCCCTTTAAAGAGCTGAGTTAAGAAATTTAGGGAGTGCAATTCTTGCTAACAAATTTAAACATGAACAATTAGAGCTACTGTTCGTCTTCAAGATCAATCTGTATAGGAACAAGTTAAAGGTGGGACTTTTGAAGGAGGGATGCCCGCTACGTCAGCATTAACACTAATATTTGCTGAGAATATTATTTTTTCTTTTCATATCGGTATTGATCTGGACTAACCCAATACTTATTTCCATCTTGTTGTTGCTTCCAGAGGCGAAGGGGAGGGGGTTGGTCATGTAGTATTTTTTGGTCATGTGACAGTGATGCAACATTCGATTGTGGATTGTATTGTCGGACATCGACACCAGGCCACTGTCTCTTTAAGAAGCTTCTGCTCTTCCTGAAACTCCGCCTTCAGGAAGTCATGGCTTCTCTATTAGCCCTCTAGCGTTTTTACCAACAGTTCTCTGAGAAGTAGATGGCATAATGAGACGTGCCGTTCCACCAGGTGTTTACTAATTGCTGCTGGCTAGTCTGAAGGAGCTGAGTGGAGGAGTGGCAGTCGAGGGCTGTTCTGTGAGGTGGAACCTGGAAGTTTGGAAGCTGCAGCCCTGAGGAGATGTGTCTTGAAGATGGAGCTTGGCTTAACAGTTGCCGTGGGAGATTAAAATGTTTCTTACATACATCTTTTTTTTTATCAAGGTAACACTCCAAGTATGTTTTTTGCTAATAGAATAATATTATAACATAATAGCTCAAAGATCAACACCGTCGATTTTACATGATACTATGCAATACTTTCATCAAATGTTAGATTGCACTAGTTAGTTAGAATATCAAGCACCTTCCAAACCTTGAAAACACCTCACTGAAATTCAAGCACTTTCAAGGATTTCAGGCAGTCGTCTGCTGACTCAAACTCCAGTCTATGGAGGGATGCAGGGCTTTTCATCCATTATCGGAAACGCACAAACACAAACGCGTGGAATGAATCGCTGCGTGTGTAATCCATCTCCATGAAATACGAGATCATCTCTGCTATGCTCACTACTCTAAGCAGCAGCTCTCTGTTCTGTGTAGGAAAAATTAAACTTCAAATCCATCAATTACACCAATCAGGAGGGAGAGAGAAAAAAGTGGGGCTGTGGCTTTGATAAAAAGATGTATGGGAGGAAGAAGAAGGAAAAGAAGAAGAGGAGGAGGAAGCTGTCAATAGTAAGGCACTTCTTGCTGGCTGCCATTTTAAATCAACAGTCACCGCCGCTCCGGTGTGTGTAATCAGTTTAATTTAAAACACCGTCAAATTTTTATTTTATGACTGGAAGAGACCCGAGATCAGCAGGATTTACTGTACGTAAAAAAAAAAAAAAACAAGCAACAAAAACACACAAGTGTTGAGTAGTTCATCATCTCAGTTAAAGATCTGGTCTCAGTGTTGGTCCCAGATGATGCACATTATAGCCTGCAAAACTCATCAGCATCACGGCGCATTAAGGCGCTTCTCTTTAAATCAGCTTCCTGTCACTGGGGGGAGGGCGGGAAAAAGTTGGACGTTTGTTGCAAAGGAATGAAATCAAATTCCTGCGGGCCAGAAAGCAGAAGAAGAAGAAGAAGGGAAAAGAAAAAAATCACAACTTACTTGGACGCGGCTCGGCCGGAGCGTTGCCAGGGAAACAGGACATTGCCAACAGCTGCCCGGTAGCTGTAGACGCCCAGGAGTCCGAGCGCCAGGGCGACCTTGGAGACGAGCGAGCAGCGTCTCTGAACCAGGAAGTGGATGAGGAGCAAGCAGAGCGCGGACAGCAGAGACAGGACCGTCTTGTGTTCGGAGCTGATAAACAAGATAAAAAAAAAAAAAGAGACATAAATAACATGTTTTATATAAAAGAAGAGCTTTCAAAGTTTCCAAGCGGAAGTTCATTCATATTTCATATTGGCCGACAGACTTTAGTCATTTATTTACGCAACCTCGAGACAGGATCCTGTCGATTCTAGTTTTCAGCGATAAAAGCAGAAGCGCTGGATGACTGGATGGATGCCGAGCATTTATGAGATGAAACGCTGTCAGTCACATTCGGCAGCAGCATCAGTCGAAGCCTTCAGATCACCCGTTTTAAGCTGTTTAGCGGATTTAGGAGCACGCCTGTAAGAAATTGCGCCACGCCACTTCGAGCACGAGGCCAGAAATAATAAGACCTCAAAGGACGCATCAAAGCCGAGCGGGAGTTGCGTGCGTTCGCCGCCCGTTGGAAAGTCGGGATGTTTTCTGTTTTTTTTTTTTTTTTTTTCCCTCCCTCGACTACCTGGATCTCATTATCCAAGCGAGACGGCAGAGCAGGTAGGAGAAAAAGAGGGCAACGTCGGACCAAGAAAAGGTCAGAGTCCACATCTCTATTCCACAACGCGATGCATGTTCAAAAACAAACGATGTTGTTGGAATATTAACTGAGAGGTCACAATTTCGGCTTTCCACAGTCGCAGATGGCTACCTCAAAATACTAAGTGGAGGGGAGGGGAAAAAAAAACCCAACAACATGTGAAGAGAGCGGCTTCAGCAGAAAGCAGACGTAGGCCCCTGTTCACATTTACATTTTCAAACGTCTGGCGAGACGAGCTGTTGTTACAGCATTAGCTTCCTGTGTGTTTGCACTACAGCAGCTACAGTGTCTGACAACCTTTTATCTCCCGGTGATGAAAATCCTCCCCTGGAGGACAGAAAATGACTGGTTGCACTGATATGTTATGACTGGGTGTAGGTGGAGCAGCAGAAATTGTAACCTCGTGTGCGTTTGTTTTCTTTTCATTCCAGAGAGCCGCCGCTGAATTTCTGGCCTTAAATATTAAATAACGTCTTATTTGTGTTCTGCCTCGACTGGTTTCAGACTCTCACCTTCGCTGAGAGCAGCGCTGGGAGGGTTTGGTTCCCACACGTCCACACAATTACTCAAAGACGGTAATATGCTGTATGTTACGAGGCGAACACTCAGATCGCAGCTCTAGCGAAAGCTCAGCACTCATTAAATGTTTGGGTTAAACTGCTAAGCTTTTGCTATTTTATAAAAACAAAGTGTGAAAAGCCCCAAATAGGTGTTTGCACACATGTACAGATGAAGCCGATGACTTTTAGGGAGAAGAAAATCAGATTTTTACTGTCACTATTTCTTGACAGAGTGAGACAATGTGTGAAAAAAATGGAGATGCTCTGACTGCTCCTGGTGGTCCTATTGTCATCTAGGTGAATCTGCAGCTCTCAAAAACTAGCTTACATAGTTTAAGACTTTTAAAGACCTTTTTGATGGCAGAAAGCAACAAAAACAACAGATTTCTGGGGTCTGCTCTCTACAGCTAAAGGCCAAACTCTGTCTTAAACAGGATATTTTGTTTATAGCAGTCACTATTATAAATCACTATTTTTTTGTTATGACTGTTCTTTATCTCATGGGTTGTTGTTTTTTTTCTCTAGCTATGAGTTGTTTATCTTGTTTTAAGTTTTTTGTGTCCAAACAAGCTTTTCATCTCGTTAGTTTCTCTCATTACAAGTTTTTTTCATCACATAAGTTGTTTTTTTATTTCTTCATAGCAAGTATTTTTATCTCTTTAAAATGAGTTCTGTTTGTCCTGTTATAACGTTATAATGTGAAACTTTCTTGAAGATTCGGGCAATGAAACATTTCCATACTAAAAACAAAATTGTGCAGCTAAGTAACCCTAACCAAATCATCTAGGGTGTATTAGCAGCTAGTTACTGGTAGCATAAACCTTCTGCAGTCATAGAAAGTGATGATATCTGGCCATAATTCCAGAAAACTCCAGCGAGAAACCCCCCAAAAAGAACTATATATGCAAGAGTAACTAGTCCCACCACAACAACATTTAAGGCCTGTGTATTTAAAGCCACCAAACATTTTCAAAACAAATTTAAGACATTTTAATGCGTTAATTTTAGCTGAATACATTTTAAAACAAATGGGAAATAAGTCTTGAACTTGAATAACACGAGTCTCCCGTACTTTTGGGTCTTATTATTTTGCCCGTAATGGGCCTCCACAGGTGTCGTTTCCGATTGGTTTTAGAATTTCCCCCAACACCAGAACCTACTCATCTAATCACAGGTCCGGCAGAACCAACCTGTTGAGCCAGTGGCTGACATCTGGGAGGTGGGCCCACTGAACTCCTGTCTGGTTGAGGGAGCGCAGCAGCCGGCAGCAAAGCAGAGTGAAGGGGGGCGTGGCCAGCGCCAGCCACTTCTCCGAGACGACCTCCTGTTTGGGGTGAGCGGAGGGGTGGCTGTCCTTGGACGGAAGGAGGTGCTCCTCTTCGTCTCTGGAGCCCCTCTGCTCCCTGAAGTACTTCCTGCACACGTCCTGGAAGACGGCGAGGCAGAGCGTGTTGAGCAGGAAGTACCAGGTCTGGTGCTCCTCTTCGACGAAGCTGCTCGCCGCCAGGCTGAGCGTGTGGCCGACGGTTCCGGCCAGCAGCAGGACGTCCAGCTCTGACAGCGACCACGCTCCGCCGGTGCTCTGAACAGGAGACTGTGAAGGCGAAGAAAAAACAGACAGTTTACACAGCGAAATGTGAGAAAAGTACAATCACAACACTAAATATGAATAACTGAAAGTGAAGGAAAAACCCTTCTTTGTCAGAGTTTAGTCCTCTGATTGCTTGAGGAACCTTTTGCCTTTTATTGTGTTGATATCTTCTTCTAAATGCCAGGAGACTGAACAGGTCTGGGGAGGAATGAAAGGAATCTTCAATAATACTCAAGGCTTTCATTTGGCATCTATTGGTCTCCAGAGAGAGGAGAAATATTACAATAACACACATCATTACCCTACAATTAATTTGTACCGCAGTTGACCACCATTGTATAAACCCAGATCTAAGGTCTGCAAAACCAAATGATATTTTTATGATAAAGTCAATAAGAAATGGTAGTTTTAGCAGTCATCCTGTATGTTTTAATGAAGTACCTTCACAGAGTATCTACAGAAGGACGACATCAATGGTGCAAAGTGTTTTTTAACATTAAACTACGAGTTCACATTTCTTCATTTTCCATTAGTTTTTTTTCTTTAAAAAGCAAAATGGTCTTAAAATAAAAATAAACAGTTCAGTTCACTTAGCTTTTAAAGCTAAGTCACATTTTTTTGCCGTCTTCAGACCAGTTTTATTTTGTATCAACGGGGGTAAATGTTGCTCTTTACACTTAAAAGATGTAAAGAATGGGGAGTTTGAAGGGCAGATGAGCAGCTTAATTATTTAGATTTTTTTTTTTTTTGCAAGTAGTCCTTCCTCAGCAAGTTTGTGAGTCCCACTGGTATGTCTTGCTGAGAGGTAGAAGTTGGAAGGTTTTCATTTTCTGGCTCATTGATGCATTTGCCTGGTTTGTTTTGTCTTCTCAACAAGCTGTCCCAGAAATCAAATCATAAAACTGATACATTAACATCTGAAATCCACAGTGGGCTACAGATCTGACCCTTTCGGAGGCTCTGGTCAGATGAAACCAAAATTAAGTTTTCTGGACGACATGAAACTGTCCCCACTGTGAGACATGGAGGTGGGAGCATCATTAGGGAAATGGCAAGTTTTAGAAAGTCACATTTAAGACTTTTTAAGACCCTTTTTTTAATACCACCTTGAATAAAATTTAAGACCAAAAAAACTTCAGGTACAAGAGATCCTGTCATATTACAACCAATCATGGCAAGAAATTACATTTTAGTGTCTGTCTGCGGCAACTGACAGCAATTTTGTGCTTTTGCACTTTGCATGGCTTTTTACGGCCTTAAAAACGTCTGACTAGTTAGCTACATTTTAAAATATATATTTGCTAGCTGGCTAGCAAGCAGATATTAGCAGCTGCTTAGCGTTAGCCTGAACCACCTTGAGTCACCTAATGAAGATATCTGCAAGACTCAAGCTTTTGCCTTTAAGAAAAAAAAACTACATAAACAAAATGTCATAGTATTGCCATGATAATATTTAAGACCGCTCATTAACATATTTAAGGCTAAATTAAAATGTTTTTATAGCCCTAAAGACATTTCAAGGCCTTAATTTTAGATTCGCAAACACCCTGATAACACACCTTTTCAAAAAAAAGTTTGTAAACCTACATTTTTAAAACTCTCATAGTTTAATACAAAGATACATGGTTTAAGACTTTTTAAGAAGGTGCAGACACTGTAATTATGCTTTTCTTCATCAGGAACAAAAGAAGTTGGAATGTTTTCTACAAAACATGGATGGAGCTAAATAAAGGACAATCCCAAAAGAAAACATCGACAAAAAGACTTGAGCCTCAGGTGTAGCATCAATTTCCATCACTCTAAATCAAACGAGAGCAGGATCAGGATGGTTTAGATCTAAGCTTCTTTATTTGTGCAAATGGCCCAATTTGGTCCAACTAGGGAGTTTGTGAGAAGACGAGAAAACTTCAGTTCACAGACACTTTCTATTCAATATGACGGAGCTTGAGCAAAAGTGACTCTTTCGATGTGGTGCACATGTACCCTGAAAGAGATGCAACTGTATTTCAGGGAAAAGTGGTATAACAACAGAGTGAATCAGAAACACACTACATTATTTAGATGTTTTCTCAAAAGTTGCAAAAACTGTTTGGAAGTAGATCTTAAACCAGCTTTGTGTTGTTGGTTAGTTCGCTGTGTTGGTAAGAATTGCCTGCAGATCTCCTCCTGAGACGCTCGTGCTATTTGTAATAAACGCTAATAGATTTGAGGATATTTAAGAAGATTCTTCTCACTTCTGATCAGCTGAATTTGTGGAAAATGTAATTTGATATGCTTCGGATGTTTTTCTTAAGAGGAGAACATGAGCCTGAACACACACACGCAAGATATTTTTAGCTCGCCCACCTCTGCTTTGGCATTGCAGTTGCCAGTGGGATAATTAGCAGGTTCAAATAACCTCCAAGATGATTAACATTAAAATTATTCAAAATTGAAAAGCTAACCCCACAGCATCTATTAAATGACCTGTGTACTTTATAGCATTCTGGACGCAACACCAACAAAGCAGAAAAAAACAAGTCAACTGATGCAAAACCTATTCACCATTGGCAATTTTTCCTCTACGTTGCTTTTTATAGTTAGACTATATATATTTGTTTGAAGCCATCAGATTATCCATCATGTTAATACTTCCTATAAAACAGTCACTTCCTGCCATGGCACGGCAAACAGTGACCGTGAGCCGTCATCCATCAATTGCGGACCCGTCTCAGGAGGATGAGCCTGTCCCATCCTCGAGATTGGGAGTTTTTCCAGCTTCGCGCTTGTATGCAAATGACTTGATTTAGCGCAAAGTCAGTTCAGACAGAGTTCAGCCAACCTCTCAGCTCAGCAGCAATATTTCACCTCGGAAAACAACAGACGTGCCTCATCGGCCCCGATGACGGAGAGAGAGAGAGGCTGAGTTGCTACGTGCCGGTACCTGCAGGCTACGGCAGCGGGGCCCGCTGTGGGAATGGGCTGACTGAGAATTGATTTTCCTTCAAAAAGTACAAAAGAAACGCAGGGCCCGTTTTAGAACAAATGGTTGTTTTTTGGGGGAGGTTTTCTAAAGCACATTAGATCGTTAAACATTTAGTTTTAGTAGTTTTATTCAAAAGAAGACAAGTAGAAGAGGCGGGTTGGGAAGACACTTAACTTTCACATTACATTCAGAAAATTGAGGCTGTAATTTTGCTTGTTTATAATGACTGTCTTTCAAGGCATAATGTTGCCTCTAAGTTATAAATGGGCTCAAATGGCAATTCAGAACTATTAAGCCAGATTATTGGCTAATCACTCTTTATTCTGTTATTAATCAAACTTCAGTCTCTAAACAGATTATTGAAGTTGTTTTGGGACAAGCAAATGAGCATCGTGTCTCATTATTATCTTTAGAAAACATTAAAGCTTTAAAAGAAATTAGTTCAATGTATTTCCACTTGTATTATTGAAATAATACAATCTATAAGATTTCTTACTTCAATAAAGTCAGGAACAACACTTGCGCAGAAATAATGCCGCATAACAACCTGTTCAGTTTAGCATAGTTTCTGATAAGGAATACATGACACATTCTGTTTACAGTCAGGTGGAAGCTAAGGGCTAGTTCGACTACATGCTAAAAATCACAGCGCCATCTAGCGACCTGGGATGACAACTAGAGCAAACTCAAGACGTCTTAGCTGCTCCGTCTAAACGTGGAACGTTTTTCCCAATCAGCATCGGAAAATACAGGCAGTTTCCAGTCCCGTGTAAACGTAGCTCAAGTTGAATCTAGTTTCTCTCGTCATAAGAAATGACAATTACATGCTTCACTAAGAAAATAGGTCAGATTGCTTTGCTGTTGCAGCACCTTCAAGCATTCAGCATCCCGAGGTGAGTGAATCTTCACTGGTGTAGACAGTGCGTCTGCATAGCTTAGCATGAGATTAGCATATATAAGCTCATTATTAAGGTCAATGCTTGGGTATTTTGCAGCATTTATGTGTTCCAGCTCTCACTTGTAATGTCAATCCCTGGGGAAAATTAAAACATGCATCAAACAGCATTAGGTGAAGCAGATGATGCTTAGGAATTATTTATATGTCATTCAAATACAAGACGGATTCACAATTATGTCTTTGGACTTTACCCCACATGGTTCCTTGGTACGTTTAAACGTAAAAGTAAATGACAGAGATAGAAAGTGTTTTTCTATTCTAATTTATTTATTTAAATAAATAAATAAAAAACAAAGCTCTTTGCATGTTTTTGTGGTCGAATGCTTTTCGATCTTGCTTACAATACAAATTGTCAGAGAGTAACATAATTTTGGGAGACTAGTGGTCGAACAATATTTACATGTGAGATTGATCTTATTTGCCTTGGTCTAAAAATAAACCACTGTGCTCTTTTGCTCTCCATAGAGAAATTTTACTGACAGACTGGCCAATCAGGTCATGTCTGTACGTTAACAATAGTCACAGCAACTTTCTTGCTATTTTTAGCGACATTTCAAAGCATCAGCAAAAATCACACAGGTCACATTTTTAGAAGATTGTCAATTGCTGATCGACTAGAAAACTGCGATTGGTGCACAGCTAATCCATTCACCAAGAGGTGGGGAGAAAACGTTCTGTGATTTGTACAAATGAAAAGTTCTGTTTACATTTTTGTGAGCTCCAAATACCCTGCACACTGCTCACACACTCGAGTGGCAATCTTGAAAATGCTTTCCGACAAGGCTCACTTGCCGGATTAAAGGCACATTTTGAAAAGGAGAACCTTTAAGTAGGTATTTAAAGCACTTTTCACTAAACCCACAGTTCTACATTGAACATGCTTTTTATTGGTCTTAAACGTTTTCATTTGCTGTAAGTGGAAAATCATCAAAATTCTCAGAACCGTGTCCAATTAATCCACATTATGCGTTTTAACTCAATGGATTGAATTACAGGAATGAATGAACTTTTCAATAATATTCTAATTTGTTAAATATGTCTGCACACACTAATAGAGGCATGCCCTAGTCGAGACAGCGT